TCACATCGAGAATGATGAATTTCTTGGAGCCAGCTACTTCGGCCAAAATTTCTCCAATGAGTGGCAGAGGGTAACGATCCTTGCGTGTATGATTGTTGAGTTTGCGGTAGTCGACGCAGAATCGGAGATCACCGTTCTTCTTTTTGACAAATAGAACCGGAGAATTGAAAGGAGAATCGCTGAGCTCGATGAATCCATTAGCCAAGTTCTCCTCGATGTACGCATGGACCGTATCCAGTTCTTTCTGATTTATCTTGTACAGCGGAGCCTGTTTCATTTCCGGCTCGCTGTCCAAGTGGATCTTGTAGTCAAATTCCCGATGTGGCGGCAGTTTGTTTGCATCTCGTTTGGAGAACACCTGCTCCAAAACATAATATTCCGAGGGTAGTTGGTTTAACAAATCTTCCATCTATTCCTTTACTGTGAGTTCAGCCAGCTCAGCAACGTCTTGTTCATCTTCTGCCGCTTGCATTCCCACATACCACCATTGATCGTCCTTTTCTATGGCGTCATCTCAAGGCACTGTGTTATCGGTATTCCGTAGGGTACGAGTTTGGTACAAGTATGTTATAGGTGTGGAGTATAGTGGTGATTCCCAAGAGTAGGGGGTATAAAGTCAGCGTTAGGTATAGCGTTCACGGAAGAGGTAAAGATAAAGTAAATAATAGGTGAGGATGGTACAATAACGGCGGTCTTCTTTAGAGAAGAGATAAGTATGTGAACAATAGGTATGAGTATAAACAGAAGACGTTGCATGAAGAAGAATACTGCCTCACGCTGGGTATATATGTACATCAGATAATAGGATAGCCCTAAGCACTGTCTCAAACAGTATTACTACGCAATTCCTATGAAACGACCCTATGTTCCTGAGTTTGTCCTAATTGTTTAGGAACTCAATCTAACACCGAGTTGTGTTTTGGCATGGAACTCTCCATGAGACACCATCCTAGCTTCCACTACGTTTATTCATGAAACATCAACGTCGATTGCGGAAATTGCTGGTATGTCTATCTTTTCTATCACCAGCTTTTCTATTTCCTTTTCGTAGATTTCCCGTCGCTCTTGCAAAGGAGTTTTTGCTATGGAATGCGCTGCATGCGCTGCTTCAGTCACTATGGTAGGGCGTCGGAGTATCTGATGGTATGCCAACAATTGTCTTCTCAAGATAACGTTGTTCCTGTTGCCTAAAATGGTGGCAAAGAATGGCATGCTCATTCGGTGGGAATCTATGGTGAGTTTCATGAGATAGGCGTAGCGTAGGGGTCAAGAAGCTCCACCTTCGAAGCCTCGGACCGCGAGTGGGTTTTTTAGAGTATAGAGTGTCATCTTGACTTTACTGTTGCGATGCCAATCGTGAAATATCTTACAATTAGCGAAGGCATATCCATTTGCGCCAGTATCTACGAAGGCAGTGATTGAGAGTTGAGATTTATTTCTAGATTCTACGGTACATTCCGTAGCTAGAGGCTTTCCGCCAAACAAATTCTCCAAATCAATGCCGCTCGCTTGATATCCATGCTGCTCTGGGGAGGCGACTTCTCTGAGGGCGAATCTTTTCCCTCATCCGAATCCGTGGAGAGTTCTGATCCAGATGATTCACCTTTCTCCTTCATTTTCTTTTCCTTCTGATCTGTATGAACTTCCTTGATCTCTGCCGTGGAACAGGCATCAGCGGAATAGCCTAGCTTGCTGCATCGAAAGCACGTACCAGAGGTTGGAACAGGCGTAGGAGGTACGCTGTGGCGAGGGAGAGTATTTTCTTTGGGTGGAGCAATAGGCTTCTTGATCTTTTCCTTCGGTTACTCGTATCGCAATTGGGCGTTCGTAGTTCGCTGCAGGAGGACCTATTGGGGTTCAATTTTGAGACAATGTCTTGACAACTCAAAAGCGTTATTGAAGGTCGTACTGAGAATTGTAGGCTTTAATTCGGAATTTGTTTTCTCCCGGAGTTAATCCATCCGATCTTTGTCGCGAAGTTGTAATTCAGAAGCGTAGGTCAAGAACTTGGAGAAGAACGCAGAGAAAGTATTGTCCTTTTGGTAAAGTTTCTTGAAATGGGCACGAGCCTTGAAATGCGTCTTCTCATCGGTTTTATTGTATGTTCCTCGTAAGATGTCGACGATAGCTTTAGCTTCGGTGATGTAATTGACACTTTCTGACCTGAAGTAAGGCTTCAGTTCTCTTCGCTGATTCTTCTTATCACGGTGTATTTTGAACTTTTGGTAGTTTGTGTATAGATGACCCTGGTATATCATCTTTTTGGACTTATACCAGGAAAATTCTTTCACCCCAGCTCTGTAGATTTTTAGGCTGTGTTTGTCACAGGGCGAGGGTACGAAGAACGAGGTAATTATTATAAATGAGTTGTGCGATGAGAAGGTAAGAGAATATCTAGCTACACGAAGGTCTTGAGACACTCAGTTATCGCTTAACCTTAAACCATGCCAACTACCATCCTACTACTGTGACAGTGTTATCTTTTGGATTATCAGTTATACTGTCTGTTAGATCTAAAAGTCTAGACTGGACGTCTTCAAAGCTTGTGAGTTCTTTGGTAGCAAGGTTTCCAACGAGGTTATCAATGGTTTAAGGCAACTGACACAAAATAAATGCTCCCTTTATTTCATCGTCGCAAGTGAGCGTTCGGAGGGTTCGGCCTAAAGACAACTTCATTGTTTGCGAGCGTTGCTTTAGGCGGTTCTAGGCGGCTGTAAACTTTGAGAGGTAGTCTGGGATGTTATCCCCAACGTTTAAGGAGAGATTTATAAAATATTTTAGTGAAGAAATCGTTTTATTTGTCGTGTCGCGATCATATAGAGCCTTGAACAGGCTCTATGCTTCGTAAGCTGTTCAATGTCAATGACCACTGTTTGTAGATCTTCATCTACAGCATTCAGAAGTATCTTGCGCAGTTTAACATTCTGTCGTTTCCATTGTCTCCATCCATCCGAATATTTATTTTCTGGCTCTGTAATCTCCCCCGTTGTAAATTCGGACAATTTGCTGTCTTCTAATGCAATTTCCCAAGCTCCTGCCCATCTGCGGTAGTTTTCACTCCCTGTGAGAATGGGAATTTTTTGAAGACTGTCTTAGATTTATGATGCTACTTGATTGGACTTCGCTATTATATCGTCGGAAGAGGGAGACATGTTGTTAGAGATATAAATTTTGGATGGAAGGGTAATAAAATTTGATGACAGATGTTGACTTGAGCGTCCGGGCAATAACCTATTGTAATTGTTTGCTGGACCTGGCGGTGTAGCTTATCACAGTTAGAGAGTGTATTCTAGAATGTACTCTTTAACTGTGATAAGCTACACCGCCAGGTCCAGCAAACAATTACAATAGCCGTTTCCGTAACCGTAGCCAGGTGATTAGCTATGGCCGCGCGCAGTTAGACTCTCATTGAGTATATAAATCATCTGTTTTACCAGTTTTGCAAAGGTAGGACTGTTGCTTAGACGCTAGATGTGGTGGCGAAGGAGATTGCCAAGTTCGCCGCTGTTCTTCATTTTTTTTTTATCTTTATTTAACGTCTGGCGGATCACGCGTCAAGCTGTTCTTCATTAAATTGCTTGACGTGTTGCCAACGTGCAGCAAGTACTTTGGGTTGTCACGTGACAGTTGGCTCAGCCTAGGAAACAGCTACCCGGCGTGCTAGCGCCCATGGGAGCCCAGCATTTTCTGTGAAGCCTGGAAGTATGTGTTTAAATGTAGTACTTGAGTAATAGACTATCTAGCACATTGGGCTCCTCTCTGACCCAGGACACACCTTGTACAGTGCTCCTATCCTCTTTTGTTACTTGAAAGATCATTGATATATTCCCCTTGATGAATAGGCATTCAGCTCAGTGTTTACCCGTGGAGTTCGACCACCTTTTCCGCGGAACCTTCTACCGAAAAAAATAAAATGTTAGCAATGGAGACTGAGTGCGCGGGAAAAAGTCTCAAAAAACCTGCAGCCCCAGCCAGGCGAGGCCTAGACACCGGGACCACATGAGTTGCGCATATTCATCTATATCTCAATTCTTTGTTGCATTAAGGTCAACTTGATCCGATCCGCCATCGCCGTAGCGCATGCTGGGTAAGCTCTGGAAACTCATCGGATTTCTTCCCCGCCACGATCAAGGGTTGGTGATGAGTAGGGCTCAGACACTACCATCCGATCTGATCGTGGTTAGCTTCATGATAATGGTGACAGGGGAATGTGTTGAGAGATGAAAACGATACAGACCGCGAAAGCGATTGGGAACCCTTATCGAAGTAAGAACTTTGTTACTCAATCTCGGCTCTGCAGACTCTACAGTGAGAGCTACAGGTTCGCAGGGGACACCACTGACAGGTGTTGAGAATAGTCCCCTAGTGTTACTGGTATTGGCCCGGCCAGTGTGTAGAGTCTGTCTGGTACATTGGGAGTCTCACGACATTAAAAGAATCACGCAGTGGTTTTTAGTTCATAATTTGATAGAGTAATGCTGAATGAATTATCTGGTCAAAATGATGCTGAGGGAAAGACACAGCAAGATACAAACCTGGGGTTAACAGAAAAGATGTGATTGTAATGCATGGATTGCACGAGTTAAAAACTTGCATCCTTCTAGATAATTAAGTATTCCCCAGAGATCAAAAAGAAAGAGTTAGGAAGCTTCTAGTTAGGGTTTTTATTTCCGTATACATATGATGGTAGAATTTATATCTTTCTGCGTAGGCCTATGGATTGCCAACGAGGGATAATAGATTCAAAAACCAATTAAAATTTCAGTCCTATGCGATCTGAAGCGTGATATTATGACGTTTTGCTGTCAAAGGCATTGTGGGGCCAAACCTGACTAGTAAATCTTGCACTCGGGTGTCGGATTCTACATGGCACAAGTGAAATCCGATAACGTAACATAATAACATTACATGAGCCCTAGAACGACAAATCCTACCTGACCCTACATGTGGATATGGCCCCAGGTTAATCATCAATTCCTTGTACCAATTTCTGAACTGACGTTTCGAAAGCGGTTCAGTATGAACTTTCTCAACCCCCGACTGATGCGGTCTCCTCTCTCGCATTTGCGTCTGGCGTGCCTACGCTATTAGCTGTGGCCTCTTGGGATAAATATATTTATTTGTATGACATATCAGACCAAGAAGCGCATGGAAAGCTGATTTCGAAGCACGAACACCGAGCTCCTGTCCTTGACTTGTGCTTTGGGGCCGGCGACTCTCATATATTCACGGCTGGCGTAGACTGTCAGGTTAAAAAGTTTGATAACCCAATTAAAGAAAATTTCACCGAACTAAGCGCTGGTGTAGGATAGATCTAGAAAATGGAGATCAAACTGTACTTAGTGTTCATGGTTCTCCCGTAAAATCGGTAGTTTACAGTCGCGAGCACGGTGAGTAGTTCCTGAGTAGACAATTATAATTGGAGATATTAATTCTCATATAGAACTACTAGTTTCTGCTTCATGGGACTCAACGATTCATGTCCATGATCTTCAAAATATCGATCGTGAAGCTATCACAGTTAAATTACCTGCAAAACCACACTCCCTATCAATCACCGCGTCAAAGTTAGTTGTTGCTATGGCTTCACGCCTAGTTCACATTTATGAGCTTAAGGATTTAAAGATGATTTCCGGCAAAGAAGATGCAACCAATAAATCACTTGAACCGTGGCAACAAAGAGAGTCATCATTGAAGTTTATGACAAGATCAGTAGCTTGTATGCCGAATGATGCAGGGTATGCAACGAGTAGCATTGAGGGAAGAATTGCTGTTGAGTGGTTTGATCCCTCAAGCGAATCCCAGGCACGAAAATATGCTTTCAAGTGTCATCGACAAGCGGATACAGAAGGTGAAGGTGTTGATATCGTTTATCCCGTGAATGTGGTCGCATTTCATCCTATTCACGGAACTTTTGCATCGGGAGGCGGAGATGGAATTGTGTCATTGTGGGATGCCGATGCCAAGAGAAGAATTCGTCAATACCAGAAGTACCCAGCAAGTATTTCAGCTCTGGCGTTTTCGTGCGATGGAAATTACATGGCTGTTGGGGTTTGTCCTGGTTTTGAAAATGGCCAGGAAGAGTATACTGGTGAAGGGGCCACTCATATCTTCATCAGAGAGCTTGGTGCCAACGAAGCTAAGGGGAAGCGGTCGAAGTAAGGATAGAATGTACTCGAGTTTTATAGTTGTTTAATCTAGAACGTGTCCCTGGCTGGAACTTAGTATGATTAAAAGACCTACGTATCCTCAGTCCTGTGACTTTAATTTATTAATAATCTAACTTCTTCCACTCTTTAGTTCACACTATTAAATGACTTTTAAATAATAGATCTACTAAGAAGATCATCTCTCGTCTTAGCCGAATTTAGATATACCTAATATTCCCAACTGACATATCAAAGTTTCTTGTTAATTATATTGAGATTATACAGGAACACAAAATAACTAAAAGAATCATTTACCAATCAGTTCAGTTAACTTTGACTTCTTGCATTTCGACGCACGAAAAGTCAACGGACAAATTAGTTGAGTCCACCTCGCACATCTTAATCCTATATTTTCACGTTGGGCAAAGCGGGTGTACGGACAAGATCAAAAATAGTGCCTTTGTTTTGTCAGTTTGTTTTCCTTCGCAACAAACTGAGATAAAGCTGGTAAATTTTCAGCCTGTTGTATGTATATAGATCAAGTGATAAATTTCATCTCATCCAATAATTCCGTCTTCGTGATGTGGGGTTCACAGTGCTTATTGAATAAGATTACATAGCACAGTGATGTCTTCTTTAACTCGGGCCACACCTTGAACAGTGATAATAAAAATTCATTTATGTCCAATTTGAGTTTACAACTATGAAGGGTATACTATTTTAATACCAATTTTCTTTTTCATCCTAATTGGGGTTTTCCTTCATTAGATGGTGGGATCCCCATTACTGGTTCACCGGGGGGTACTTTGTACTTACACCTCGTACAGTGCTCATATCCTCTTTTGCTTTCTGAAAGATCATTGATAAATTATTGTAGAAATACTCCCATGTGTGTGTACAATCTACGCTCTTACGGTAGAGAAAGAGTCTAGGGTTTGGTGGTTTTTAGAGACTACCAAGGGTGTAGATTGGAACGGTTGCTAAGCAACGGAGACAGTTATGATCGGCGTCGTTAATTAAAATCCCTTGTGTAAACAGCAAGACCTAGAGCCATTTCGTTTCTTGTTTTCTTTAATTAACTTATTTTAATCTGGACTTGGTCTGCTGTATACCAACACCAATTGATCCAGCTACATACATCGCCCACAATGAATAGCCATTCAGTTCATTATTTACCCGTGGAAATGGGGCATGACCCTCATCCTCTATTGGCAAAAATTAAGCACAACATTATACAAATTTACTATTAACTTTAAAGCTATTTAGATAGTTTTAGCTGTCCTTCATAGTCATAGACTCATTAGGGACATATATAAAATTCTATCCTACCCGTGGAACCCAAACAAATTTTCCACGAAGCCTTCTATCCCCCCCCACACCAAAAAAAAAGGTAGCAATGGAAACTGTGTGCGCGGGAAAAAGTCTCAAAAAACCTGCAGCCCCAACTAGGCGAGGTCAAGCCACACGAGGCGCGCATATCCATCTATATCTCCATTCTTTGTTGCATTAAGGTGAACTTGATCCAATCCGTCATCGCCGTATTGCATGCTGGGTAAGCTCCAGAAACTTATCGGATGACTTCTCCTGCCTGATTCAAAAGAGTGGCTAATGAGTAGGGCTTCGACTCTACCATCTGGTCTGATAGTATTTAGCTAAATTAAAGTGGAGCTAAAGAGAATGTGCAGATAAATGAGGAGGAAACAGACCGCAAAAAAGATTGGGAATCCTCATCTAAGTGATAAGGAAGGTGTTTCTCATACTCAGCTCTGCAGACAATACAGCGAGGCCTAGAGGTTTGAATGGGATACCGCTGAGAGTTGTTAAGTTTTCTTCCATTTATGTATAAATCATGGTGGTGGACAGGGCTTATTTATAATTTTGGATACTTACTAGACAGAACATTATTTTGTATCCGGAATTTTTCACAATTGAATTCATTTAATTTTAAATTACTTTTGACTATTCTGCGGTGCTAAGCTCCCAAAGATGAATTTTCTACGTAGTTTGTGGATCTTTCTCAGTCCAAGTATACATATAATTGAAATATGATATATCTTGGAATGCCAAAACTAACCTTTTTGTGAGTCTGGCTAATTAGAGTATCAAATTCCCTATCCTATATCATTGTCATCAATACCACTCCCTCATAGGTCAATTTTAGACAACACAAACAAGGATTATCAAACCTATCATCAATCTACCTTGCCAGTCATCGAAATAATAGCCGTCTAATGGTATCACATCCGAAAAATATTACACAGCTATTTAATGTGGCACCATCCCATATCAAAAATCAGATTAAGGGTCATGATGCCAGACCCCCCAAGTTATGCGATGAGGCCGGCCAGCTAGGTACTGTTAATTAGCGTGTAACTAATAAGGTCCATCGAAGGGCAAGAATGAACACCTGTATGTGGTGTCTTCTACGATACTGGGAGCAAAATATTCTCCCAGAGCCAAGTTCACTCAAACTTCGCGATACCGAACTTGGCCCACAAACGATGATTCAAAATAATCCACCATGTCAAATTTTCAATCCCAACGAGATAAACTCCTGCCTAAGTCTCATCAAGTCTACAAGTACGACCTAGTACATCCTCATTCCAACGACCACACCTCTCGTCGACCTTCTCTAGCCTCAGTTGACCACCAAATACACGCCCACGCCGATATTTATACCCGACAGAGGAAGCAAAGCGTGGCGCACAAATGTGAGAGACAGTTCTTTGGGATGGACGTGAGAGGGGTCAGGATAATGTCACAAGATGATGCAAAGGAAGGATATAACTTCGATAAGTGTGAATTTTGGAATTTTGGAAAGCAATTTTTACGAAATGAGCTTTATGTGCACCATGGCTTCGGTTGCGAGGGTTTAGGCGACACTATAAACATCGCCATAGTTGGATGGTGCGACGGTACATCGCTTTGGCCGGTCTACCAAGTAGAGTCTGGATAGCTTGGACACATATCCCACTTGAGACAGTAGATCGCTGGTTCGAATCCGGCAAAACACAATCACATTTCTCGCGGTGCTGGTGTACATGGATGACGAAGGCATGCTTGGATAACCAAAGGTTTCGAAATTCCCTTTGGTGGGTACTTACGGAGGAGGGTCGACTGTTTGTGTAAGCGAACATACCTCATAGTGTTATTTGCGAATGAAATCCAGAGTATGAGCGTCTCTAACGTCAAAAGAATCATCTCACATGTATACATAGCACGGGTCATGTGCCATAGCTAAATAGCTGAATAGCTGAATACAAATTTAATGATTTGTAAAGAAAGTTGAGATTTGATTTGGTTCTAGATCGCGGAGGCTTGATTCACAAGTCTAGATTCTCAACGGCGCTAGTATTAGGGTCTCGCTTGTCATGTACAAATAGTGTGAAGCGCGCAACAGTTATAGTCTTCGTCACGTTCAGCTAATTAAACTAACCTTGATTCACGAGCCTCTCTTTTACGTTGAAATTGTACCTCGTTCCTCTAACAATTTTCTCACGACTCATATCATTCTTTCTCTATTCATAAATCGCACATATCCTTTGAGCCGCATAACTCATCAAACCTAAACCGTTTCTTCAACAGATGTTTATGCCGTTTGTGTAGTACTTGTATTGTATGTCATATTTGCGTAAGGAGCTAATATATGTAGAAGCCAAGTAGCGGTTGCATATGAGTGTAAATAGTGTGCTCGGCGCTCATAGACAACAACTAAAGTTAATCCAAACTCATCTCACTTCAACCCACTATCATTGTCTCATAGATCTACTCGTCCGCAAGAGGCCAGCGTACCTATTATTATTAAAATAAGCTCATAACTGTGACACTATCTCAAAGTCACTGATTCTAAATGATTTCGTAAAATTTTGATAAATCTATCAGATCTCACCTAGCGTCCAAGGTCTTGCAGCCACTGATTATAAAAATATAAACCATTTGGAAATTCAGCAGCTCTAGAAATACTTACTTAACTTTACAATCAGTCGCTGCTCAGATCAATTATAAGCGGAAAATATGATGGACCAGATTCCAGCATCAGATGAGACTAGTCCAGTCTTAACAGATTCTTGTATCAGAGTTTTTCATGATATCCCTAGTCTCCGTCGATGGCGCCTGCAACAACTTCTGGACGCTCGTCCAATTGCTCTTGTACCTACCATGGGAGCTCTTCACGAAGGCCATATTTCTTTGGCTAATATGGCTGCCAAGGATAAATTTGCTGTTGTTGTCAGCATCTATCTCAACCCGACCCAATTTGGCGTTCAAGATGACCTTGATAGTTATCCAAAAACATTGTTACAGGACTTGGAGTTGTTAAGACGTCTAAATGACAAACTCGCTGTTGATATTGGAAAACCAGGGAGAATAGCCGCTGTCTTTGCTCCTAGCACCGACACAATGTACCCAAGCGGATTTCCTAGTCAAGAGTGTGATGCTAAAGGCAGCTTTGTTACAATAACACCAGTAGGTGAGATATTGGAAGGTGCAAGCCGGCCTACGTTTTTCAGAGGTGTTGCCACTATATGCACCAAGCTCTTTAATATTGTCTCTCCAAATAGAGTTTATTTTGGACAAAAAGATATTCAACAAACGGTTGTTATCAAAAAAATGATTCGGGATCTTTGTTTTGACACAAAAATTATCGTTGGTCCGACGCAGAGAGAAGAAGATGGCTTGGCAATGAGCTCTCGAAATGTTTACCTTGGTACTAGACGAAGAAATGCAGCGACAGTGCTCTATCGATCATTACAGCTAGCTGAAAATAAATATTTAGAAGATTGTCGAAGTAGGGATGAAATTATTGAGCCAGCACTCAACTTTATTCGCGACGAACAGGAGCTCAGAAATCGTGACGGTGTAAAATTTGAATTGGACTATATTTCTCTAAGTGATCCTGATACAATGGAGGAAATTGATCAAGTTGATTTGAAAAAAGGTGCAATAATAAGTGGAGCAATTAAAATGATGCCTCTCGATTTACCTCGACCTGACGAAGATTTGGGACTTTGTAAGGGTCCATTAGTGAGGCTACTTGACAATATCATCCTTCTTCCCAAGGATTGATTTACTTTCATATTAGATCATGAATACTACCTGAAGCTTGCAAATATGAACAAATTTTTTTTTCTGTAGGGCTTAGAGATTCAACTTCAAATCCAGATGACCCAAAATCGATATCAAGAATTGTGCATCTCTTGGTAGAAAAGCTGAAATTTATCTCCAGTAAGTGCCCCAGGATTGTATTAATTGTTGTGATAATATATTTCTTAACCAGAATCAATGTTTTTTCTCAGCCTATGCTTAATAATATGTCACTCTTTAACCCTCTGTGCATAAGTTTTATGTCCTAAACAAAGTTTATCCTGGCTCTAACTCAAGCTCTTGTATTAGTCGTAAGGAATCTACTTAACGCCAAGCCTTACCAGCACTTGGATAAAGCTGCTGCATTAGAACATTGGCACATATCCTGATTGCTTTAGTTTTAAATCCATTAAGGTTATACTTGTTTTTCCTCTAATCATATCCAAAAGCTTTATCTCTTAAGTTCTTTCGACTCATTTATGTGCTTAATAATTAGTTGGGAATTCTGACAGTGGGGTTTAGAAATCACTCGCTTTTATTTAGTCTGAAACGCCTCACTAGGTAGATTCTCTCTATACCACTATTTTTGTCATGGCCAGGCATTCTTGAAAAGGTTTCAAGGAGAGGGTTCTCGGGAAAAGGTGATTGGAGAAGGTTACTGAGAATGTTTCCGCGAAAACTCTGACTGTTAGAGATAGAGGGGCTGGCGTCATGACTACATCTACTATAGCCTTAGTTGAGTTCAAGTACTGTCTCGAGTTATACTCAAGGAAGCTGGAGCTGCCACATAGTAGCTCTCCAGCTTCTCAATTTTTAATTCTTTTGATCTTTGAACTTTGAACTCGCAGTCTAGCATTTATATACTATTATTATCTTATATTCTCACAATCCAATTATTCTCACTCCTTCACTATTCGTTACATTCTTTGTACTTATTTTGACCTTAAGTTATCAAACTTGTTCGCTTGCTCCACAATTCGACCTCGTGACTTCGTGTCTTTCCACTATCCTAAAGTTCTCCGACTCTTGACTCCTTGGCACCTCGCCAGTTGAGTTATATCGAAGTACCCTTTGTTAGTAGCTATAATCCTAAAACTTATTAATACATTAACTTCGGTAGACGGCGATCTCCAGTATCCTTAGCGTCCGCTGTAATACTAAAGCGGGGTCCATGGAGACGCCAGATGTCGAGATAACAAACCCAATGAACTTGGTCGAAGTATTGAAGAACTTATCAAGGAAATAATGACCCCTCAGTCATTGAGGTTGTAGAGCGCATTGATTCAAGTAACTACCGAAGTGAAACTATGTACAGAATTTGTAGTCACGTGCATACCAACAACGTGGCCTACTTGATAGCCTCAATTATTCTAAATTCTAACAGAACTCGCATTTTTCTCCTTTAACATATAGTTCTGCTTAAAGCAACAATTCAAGTATTTGACGGACGTTTTTACGGCGAGATTTCCGAAGGGTAGAACTCGTCGTCTTGAAATTTGATAAGTGAGGAGCGAGGTTCATGATGAAGGTTTGAAAACTTATGAGAAAGTAGAATTTGATGATGAGTGTGGCAACAAGATACCTAAGAAGACTATTATCGAGAAAAAAGGAAAAATAAAAATTGCGAAGCTGAAGATGTGGATAAGTATTATGGTTATACGTTATGGGGTATAATTGTGATACGTAATAAATGGAGAAAGATAATATAAGAGTAAGTGGATATATGAATGTAGGTGTGTGTAATAGTCCTAATGACAGATGTGTGTGTGTGAACTATGTATCCTACTAACTACGAACTATGGAAGAATAATGTATTCTGGGCTACGGTGGTCGAGCCAATCTCTTAGTGCTCTTTCCTTACAATGTTGAGCCCAACATTATCGTGCGTACCCTTGACTGTCCACAGTAAGACTAGTGTGTTTCCATATCATAACAATAAGCCATTTCTTCCGCTTCTTATAATCAGAATAATCTCTCAATGCAATCTCCGGCTCGTCCTTGAACTGTCCAACGGATGAGAGTATCTGAATTAGATTGTTAATCTCCTCAGATAACTAATCTGGGAAATAATATGCGGGCGATTACTAGATCCTTAAGTCTCAATCATTTCCGACAGCCTGTATTAATTATTTTTCCAAGGACACTTTTCATTACGCATAAGATTTTTACTTTCGGCACGCCGGTCTTGGAGATGGTATTGTGATTAATCTCTGTCGCTAATATTTTTTTTTTTTATAAATTTTAGGTCCTAAGCTATGCTCTATATCTCCTAGGAGTCAAGGACCGGTGTACACGGCCAAGATCATGCTTCCCACATGCCCGACTCGGTCTCACTGCGTGAGCCACTACACAACCAGTAGCTAGTTATAAGAAAGAATTTAAATGCTCCCACAGACTCCCATAACCAAAATTCCAAATCCAATACTCCAATTTGAGGTGGGAAAGCGACACTCCTCGTCTCGTTTTCCTTCCTGTCATGCTTCGTGCTATGACCTAGTTAATGTTGTCTCCGCTGAGAGCTGGTGACAGACTTGCAGGTGAGTCGCCGAAGCAGCCGGTTTCCTGCGCAAAATTTGTAAAATCCTCAAGGCACTTAGGCCCGAGAAGCTTTTGGACAAAGTCGTGATGTGACATTGTCCCTCGGAGTCGACGCGTCTGACGTTCGTGCAGTCGACAGTGAATGAAGTGGAGAGGTGATGTTTCCTCTCCACACGCACACTCCATAGAAGCGGTGAAGTTGTTGAAACGACGGTGACATGCAGCGAAGTTTCCGTGTCCCGTTCGAGCTGAGATCAGTTCACGTAGTAACCGCCGAGAAAGTGCCTGCTCCTGTGGCTTGCGTCGTCGCATGAGTAGACCCAGATTTCGATACCTAGGTGGACATGCTTCCTCCCACCATTCCTCGAGAAGAGCTTGACGTTTCTGGTTCATCAGACGACGAACGTACGCCAAAGTGACGGAGCCAGGCTGGCTCTCTTTACTTGGAAGTTGTTGGAGGTCGGAGCGTGCAACTCTATCAGCCTCTTCGTTTCCCTGTATCCCGGAGTGGGCTGGTATCCACTGAACCGAGACTCGAGCCTTTTCTGATAGCGCCCTAAATTGGCGTACATCGTCGAGACTTGTTGTGGCGGTTCCTGTCAGCAGTGCCTTCACTGCAGGCTGACTATCCGTCAACACGTTGATCCACTGCCTGCCGTTACTTCTCCCGTTCTCTCTCTCCAACAATCCTAGCGCAGCTTCCAGGGCCTTCCTCGCCCCTAGTATTTCCGCATCGAGCACTTCACCACCATGCTTGATACCACATCCCTTCAACAGAGTCTTTCCATCCCTCTTCAAGACGAACCCCCATGCTGAGCGACCATGCCCCTCCGACGATCCATCCGGGTAGGCACAGATATCCGATGGCAATACACCTCTAAGGAACCGAGTTACCTTGTCCTCCTCTTCTGTCCTTGGGCCGAAGTTCGACAGATAGCATGGCGGCGGCAGAGGCTTAGCGTCTTCCGCGTCCGGGAGTTGTCGGAAGGCCCGCTGCACTCTTGACATCTGGATCTCCGGATTCTTGGGTGCCCGAGCATTTTTCTTGTCGCTAATATTTGGTAGTCGGATGGCTCGTTTAGTATTTCTGCCTCAGGATAAATTATCCAGGCCATAACAGACGTGATGGCAATGCTCTTCCAGATTTTGTGAGTATATCAAAATGTCATCAAGATATACAACACAGAAGCGATCAAGATATTGCCTCAAGGTATCATTCACTAACTGCTGACAAGTAGAAGGAGCATTGATGAGGCCAAGTGGCATAACTGAATATTTATAAAGTCCATAGTGGGTGCGGAATGCCGCCAAATGTTAATCTCTCTTTCGTGTTCTAATCAAATTGTAAACACCACGCAGATTGAGCCGAGTAAATATCTTTGCACCCTGAAGTTGACGGAGAGTTTCATCTATTAGTGGTAGTGGGTATTGGTTTTTCTTAGTCAGGGTATCAAGCCCTCTATATAAGGAAATGGTTAAACTGTCCTTCGCAGCTATTGATGGTGACATGAATTAAGATGATGATTGTGATTGAGATAGATTTCTATATAGTTTATAATACATGATATGCTCAGGTTCATATACCTCGAGCCAAGCAACAAGATTATGTTCCTCTAGATCTAGATTCATCAGAATAATTACTTACTCAGTAAAATTCTCCTAGTCTCAGTTGTGTGTTTAGGATCTTGATTAGGTTTCTAGTAACTAGTCAATGATGTTTCTCATATCACTGAGACATAGTCATGGTTGATACAACAGGTACAAACGATGAATCGTGTCTGTACATGACGTTGTGATATAGTCATGATCGTCTGAACAATATCAACTCATGAATGAATCATGTCTCTACATGACACTAAATCATCCACACAAAATCTTAATCCACCTCCAGGCTTACGAACGAATAAAACTGGTGAGGCCAAGGACGAAGACGAAGGACGAATGAATCCCTTTTTACGGCTTTCCTCAAGGTAGTTCCAGAGAGTGCGAAGCTCGAAATTTAACATTTGTATAAAGTTTTAGAAGATGATTCCTCTATACGGGTAATACAGTAGTACTGGAAGTAGAATTGATAAAGTATAGGGTTAACAGAACGTGTATATTACTCTGCTCGCTCAGCATTGTAGGATAATGCTGCGATTATGCTCCTACTAATATGTGTCTACCAGCCTCGCCTACACGCTAATATGAATATACTAATACAGGGTATATAAGATCTCCAAACGCCTTACCCATTTAACTCTTAGGTAAACACTAATCACAACCATAACTCCATTATGTTAAGGCACAGGGAGGATTGTGTTTGACCAACAATCTTATAGTTTAACATAAAGGACCAAAGGGTTATTTTGCCTTCTTCAAGCTCTGTACTATGTGTTGGAAATAGAGACACGGAGTGTTGTGGACGTATGGCCCTTCATTTCGTCTAGGTTCCCGACACGATC